GGAACACTAGTTGCTGGGTTAAGGACTTAATTGCTGTGCCAAAGAGAGGCCACGTTAGGTCTGTTTGGCAATTAAAGGGTTTGTTGCAAAGGCTTAAACAATCTCTAACTCTGTGGAGAGAGCCTGAGATGTAATCTCTGATAGCTCCCTGTCCTCGCCTCTGTTCCCTTTCTTCCACCACTTGAGCATCTGCAATGCATGGCTGACTTAGCCAAGGGAAACCAAGAAATAGTCCCACCTGTGAAGGTATCTGAATTTTCTGTAGGAACTTGAGTTTGCCTGCTGGCGATTTACTGTGTGATCTTGGATGAATTGCTTAATTCCCTTTAAAGCTTCTCCATCAGTCAGGGAGGCAACACTGCTCTCTCCCCTGGGAGTGATGTGAAAATTCCTAGTACAGTACTCTGAGAGAAGATGCAATGTTATTTTAAAAAATGCTTTTATTTTTTCTGAAGCCATATTTGCACTTGGCTTCATGTTCTCCTGAACTATGAAAGGCTGCTGTTTGACCTGAACATCTGCCTGAGAGACCTGAGACTTCCAAAATCTCCTACAGTGGTCACGCTTAGAGATCACAACCTTGTTTTGAACTTGGCTTTTGTAGGACTGAGCCCTTTTGTCTCCCTAGATATGGATGAACTGGAGCCTGCCCAAAAGAAACGGCGTGAGCAGCTGGCCTATCTGGAGTCAGAAGAGTTCCAGAAAATCCTGAATGCCAAGTCCAAGCACACAGATGTCCTGAAAGAGGTATGGCCTCAATCCAGCCATGATTGAGGGCTCAGAACTAGGGAGCTGTCTGGACTCCTCATAATGATTTCACCAGGAAGCAGGCACCCAAACATGTCATAGGCACCAAATTGTCCTGATGAGTAGGGTCAGGGGTCTCTGAGCACAGAGGGGACAGTGTCTGCAAGTCAGCATTGCTGCCATAGCCATGGTAAGGTCAAGTTGCCATCATCTTTTTTTGCTGTGTTTGGAAGAATCAGTGAAATTTTCTGGTTAGTGGATGGTCAAAGAAATCCTTCCACCTTAAAACCAAATTAGCCATGTGCCCATTTTGTCCCTCATTTCTTGACATCTTGGCCACATAAAGACAGCTGCCACCTTCATCTGGGACTTATATAAGTTGTGGAGCCTGTGAAATGCCAGCAGTTGCCCTGAAGAGCTAAAAGGTTGGGTTTCTCCCATCAGGGTCTTTGCTGAGCATGTTCCCAGGGATACAGCACCTCCAGTGGCACAGGGCTCTTGTCTTGGACACGTTGTATTGGTATGACATCCTAGTTGTTTTAAGGTCTTCTGAGGAGTAATATTTTGGCTAAGAACAAATTCCATTCATTACATCTGCCTACCTGACCTCCCCCTGCACTATCATAGGTGTGTGCTTATTTCACTAGTAGATGCTATTGTTAAACCCTCCCCTCATACATCTCAGAGGTGGCTCATTTCAGTGTTGGTGAAGCACAGCATCTGCACTATATGGATTTTTTGAAGCAAGAGATACTTGGTGTTTCTCTGGCTCCCAGACAGCAGTCTACTTCAAGCAGGCCTGGTAGTAATTTGCCTGAAGGCCATTTATGGAGTGGTTTCTCCCATCTTTGTCTCCCCACAACCCTTTTTGTGTGCCCCCACAGGCTGAGGCTGAACTGCAGGAGCAATACTTTCAGCCCCTGGTGAAAAAGGAAGAAATGGAAGAGAAGATGAAGAGCATTAAAGAAGTGAAATGTCGAGTTGTGACATGTAAAACGGTGAGTGAAGGGGAGCCAGAGTAGGAACTCCCCAGAGCAGGGGAGTGGGGCATGGATTGTACAAAATGATGCTGGGCCATCCTGCAGACTCCCCATTAGTCACTCTATTGGCCGTAGTCCAGTGCAGGGATCAAATGGAGACAGTTTCATTCCTTATGACCGTTGCTGAGAGCAGCCCATGCACTGAGAGACATGAAGACACTGGCAAGGCAGGCTTTAATGCTGTGCTGAACATCTCAACTTGATGTTTATGCCAGTGGGTTCCTTGTGTGTTGGTGTCCTGAAAATATTTATCATTCTTCCCTGAAGTGCTTTGTACCAAGACCCTCGGTTCCCCATATTAGATGACAAAATAAGCGAAGTGCCTTGAAAACGTAACACTGGGTGGGATTCCTCTATCTGGATTTCCAGGGACTTTGCCATCAGGAAGAGGAGTGGAGCTTTGTTACTATCCTGAATGTGCTGAGAGAAAGAGAGGAGTTATGTCCCATTCCCAGAGTTTCAGCCCATGCTGGACTTTCCGTCTCGCTGCCTTTCCTGTCTGTTTTGGGGCTGCACAGAGGGCCACTGTGTGTCTCATGAGGTGCTGGGAGCAGGGCCACAGGGTGGTGGCAGAGCAGGGAGGATGGCATTAGAAGGAAAATGGCAAAGCCTGGGGCGATGATCTCAGACTGGTGGGCTCCTCAGGATGGGAGAAGACAGAGGTGCTTTCCTCTGGATGTTCAGCTGTCACCAGTCTCACATGCTGGTAAAGCGCTCACAGCTCTCTTTCTCCTCCCTGACAGTGTAATTATACCTATTTCAAGCCTCTGGAGACGTGTGTGCAGGATAACCACGACTACCACTGGCATGATGCCATCAAGCGATTTTTCAAATGTCCTTGTGGAAACCGAGCTATTTCCCTTGACAGGCTTCCAAAAAAGCCCTGCAGGTAAGAAATGAGCCTCCTGAAGTAGTGGCTGGGGCTTTTCTACTGTCCATTCACAAGTAACGTGTTGGGAGTCACATAACCATGTCCTAAAATGGGATCGTTAGCCCTTGTGCTAAGCAGTGTGGGAAGGGTGTGGGGCTAGTTTTAGACCTCTTCATACTGTGCAGCAAACACACACCAGAGTGGTCCTCACCTGCGATCTTCATCTTTCAGTACCTGTGGCCTCTTCAAGTGGGAGCGAGACGGGATGCTAAAGGTAAGCGTGAGCCAGCAGTTTCTGAGCGCCTCAGCACTCTGCTTCTCTTGGTACTTTCATCCCACACTTTGCTTTAGTGCCTTTACAGCTGCCAGCAAAACCAAGCAGCTCTGCATTTTGTCAGGTACATACACATACCTGCAGGCTGTATTTTAGTGGACTTTCTCTTCTTGCTTTTTGTTCTTGAAGCTTTTACTTAACCTTGGGGAATTTGCTTTTGACCAAAGTTGTAAGAATTCAGAATGTCAAGGTTCCTAGAGTGCCTGTCAATATTTAATCAGATAAGATAGCCCTACCACAACTTCTGTCAAAGAAATGGTTGGGAGACATCTTACCACACATTTAACTTCTTTTCTCCCATGGTTCATGTTTCTAGGAGAAAAAAGGTCCGAAGATTGGTGGAGAAACACTTTTACCAAGAGGGGAGGAGCAACCAAAATTTCTCAATAGTCTTAAGTGACCTGGAGTTGATTTTTTTCACAACATAAGGATGGATTTCTGTGTCTAAACCACACATTTCTTTACTGGAATGCTAAGAGGATTCTGGTTTTAGGGATGAATGAGCAGGGGAATCAATTCCTCATGAGAAGGACATCCACAAAGTCTCCACCAGGCTACTGCATGGGTATTCAGCTTCGATCTTTTTAAAATTGACTGAATAAGGCTGCATGTGAAATATACATTCATGCCTGTTCTTTCTTACTAACAACCTGTTTACAAGATTTAACCTAGGAAAGAGACATCTAGAGAGGAATTTGTACCAAGAAATCCCTAGGAATCTTACAATGTATGTTGAATGGCTGGTGTAGAGTGACCTCACCAGAATTTTAAGTGACAAATCATCATGAACTGTGAGGACTGTTAATACTGTGGTGCGTAAATGCCAGCCTGTCAAGGTTTTTCAGCTGTTGGCTGAAAAGGGGTGCAAGAGGGTTGTAGCCACAGAGCAGTCTTCATTGGGTCCAAAATTATTCACTTTGAACCCTTAAGAAGAGATGTCAAACAGTTCCTGAGTTGTCTCCTTAGCTTACAAGTTGAAAAAACCCTTCGGTGGCTTTGGCATTGCAAACCAGCGGTGTTTACACTGCAGACTATCAGGAGCTCTTTTGAAAGCCCTTTCCCTATGCCACAGCCCATACTGGGTTCCCAGCACCACCCACACTACAGCACCTTTACAGCTACAAACCTGCAGCTCCCACTTTGAAAAGCATTTTAAAGAATCTGGCACTGTTTTGTGAGTGGTTTTAAAGAGCTGAGTGATTACATTTAATAGCTTTTACCCTTTTTCTGGCATTTTAGATTTTCCTGAAATCTTTCCCAGTCATCACCATGTCAACCTTGGCTGCTGGCACAGCTGCCTGGGGGACAGTAGCTGTCTCAGACCAAGCAGGATGACATCTCCAAGGGGTGGCTCCTGAGAAGGGGCTGTCTTCATACAAGCGTTTTTCTGAAATCGCATCTCTGTAGGGATGTCTGTGGAATTTGGCCAGCTTTTCCTGGACCTCATCCTTCTGCTGTTCCTAGCTCATGCCCAGTAGGATCACAGGGTATTTTTAAGTGCCTAAAACCACTAGTACCTCAGTGATTTGATGAAACTGCCACCAACAGTCTCACATGTCCCAGTGGCCTTGTCAATACCTCTTTTGTTTGCTTGCACAAGGGCTGGAAGAGAAGTAAGTTACTTCATTTGAAGCAACCGGACAGATTTACCTCAGTATTCTGCAGCCCTCATCTCCTATTGGTGCTTTTGCTGGGCAGCTTTGCTCAGCATGTTACATGCATTTCAGTCTCGTGTAGATTGCATTTGATGGGTGGGGTGTCACTGGTAGGTGACTAAATATATAACTGTGACATTGCTTGGCAATGTCTCCTGTTGATTCCTCATTCGGAATAAATACAGTGCGCAATAAAGCACTCCCTGGGTTTGTATGTTATCATTTCTCTGAGGAAGAGAATGAGTTGCTCGCTCAACATCTTCATTTGCCCAAGAGCTCAGTGCTGAATCACCATAAGGAATTGGTTCGTGGTCTAGAACTCCAGCTGCCATGCGGTTTTCTCATGCAGACCAACAGGAGTTTCTCACCTGGAGTCCACAAAACCAGCATGAAATTCCACATCAGTATCAGCCTTCAGCCAGCACGTTGCGTTCTGCCTTTTTCCAGTTCCTGTCTCTGGCCAATGAAAAGGAGATTTCTGCAGAAATTGAACTCTCAAAGGTGGGGTAATGCTTTATCTTCATAAATGCCCCCAGGACTGTGATAGGAAAGGTGTGTTCTTCCTTGGGAGCCAAGGAATGAAAGCAATACTCAATTCATTCTTGTATGCAAAAATAGGATGAAGAAACCAAGGCCCATTGCTTTGCTTAAACCCCAGCAGTAAACAAGGAGTGGGGGAGATTGATGTAATGGATTTTATGTGCCTCAATCTATTTTTGGAGATACTTTTCTTGTGCCAGAGATGGCTCCAGGCCAGCAGAAGCAGGCAGGAGGGGAGCTACCCGCTGGGGCATGCTGCCACGTGAGCGCACAGCCCCAGCACCATGCCAGAGCAGCCTGCGGGGTATCTGTGCTGTCACTAAAGCTGTCCCAATTTTGGGAACATGATACAAAGACCTCCAGCCTTGCAACGAAGAAGCCCAACTGCATGCCAGGCTGTGTTAGCAAGAGAGCAGCCAGCAGGTCAAGGGATGTGAGTCTGCCCTAACATTACCAGTGGGTATAAGGCATTAAACTGGATTAACATTACACAAACCTCTGCCATTAGCATCGCTGGTGAATCAAGACAGCGCTGTTGCTGAAGCAACACTGGAAATAAAATGCTGAATGTGCAGTCTCAGAGACATTATTAAGATTTGCAGAGTAGTAAGCTGATAAATCAGCCCTTTCCCTAGCCAAATTTTCACCTGTCTGCAAGGTTTTTTCTCCAGCTACAAAATGCCCTACAAAATGGGCAGGAAGATATCCAGCTTTTCTCGTAATAACCTCCTACAAAATCAGCCTTGGTTTTTAGATAAGTTAAGCATCCTGCCCCTCCTCAGCCTTCAGCTACTGCTGAAATGATAATTTAGAACACCTTGCCCTGCTGCCACAAATTGTCTTTCCTTGGAGTTTTACAAACACTTTGAAGAAAAATTAAACCTTCAGCATTTTTTCCCTCTGCACTAACCGGTTTAGGCTTGTTAACTCTAGAGTAAAATCAGCTTAATCAAAACTTAACACCCTTTCACAATAAATACACTGCTAAAGGACCTTCCTTTTTGCCCGTCAGTTTTTCATGGCAGAGCTCGTGCAATGGTCTCTTGGGTCATCCTATGCAGCTTCCCAGCAAGCTGGACTCACCCAGCCATTTCACATTCACTTGCTGCCTGGCTTTTCCTTCCCAAAATTAAGTATGTGTGGGACGAGAGTGCAGGCAAAACTTTTCTCCTGTTCTTTTATTCTCATTTCCTGTGCAAAGCCGTGTTGCAGATCCCATTTCATTTTGCCCGGAAAACAGCCCTGTGGTGCCCACACGGGAGAGCCTCAAGGTGCAACTGGGATCCTCCACTGCTGGCTGAAAAAACAGCCTGGGCGATCAGTGCTCTTTTCTATTTATATGACTAACAGTGACTCAAAAATGGCACAATAACCTTTGTTCATGGTCCCTTAGACAAAAAACTCAAAACCTGACTTTTAGAATGACAGGCAAATGCAGAGAGAAGGGAAATCCCTAGTGTCTCTGGGGACATGGCTTCTCCAGGACAATTATTTTCACTATTAAGTTTGCACCTTGCTGTTAGATTTCTTCCAGACTTTCCTACCTGCCCTGGCATTTGCTTATGCCTTTTGTTGGCTGCCTGGCAGCCCTCAGCACAGGTGGCCGGACTTGCTGCTCTATCAACATGTCATGCGGCTTCCTCTCCAGCACAGCTGCTTATATTGTATTTTGCTGTTCTGTCTTCACAGACTTGGAGCCAAGGGAGGAGGAGCTCTGGCTTCAGGCTACCCACACCGCACACAGACAATGAGCAGGGGAGTAATCAGAGCAAGGAAAGGGGGATATTTTGCGTAGGAAAAGGTAATTGTTCCCTCTCTCTCCCCACAGCAGCTAAGGGCTGGAGAACAGACATGTCTGGGCTGGGCAGGCACTGATAGGGGCTGGGAAAAGCGCAGGGGACAGGATACATGTGCAAACACGAAAATAAGTGACCTTGGTGTAGGCTGCTGTCCTGACAGGGAGTACTCACCGGGCAAGCGCCTGCGTTGTAACCCCAGATAACTCGGCACATGTTGGCTGTGCTGATTTTAGGTGAGGACACATGACACTGAACATGAACAAGCATAAAATTAGCAGGTTCCTCCTTCCCTTGTAGAGCTGGAGTAAATAGGGTGGCTTAGAGGAGGTCAGGGGCTGGGTGGGAGCACATCATGGGCGAACCACAGTGCCTGGTGCTCCTGTATCTGAGCCCATCCTGTACACCAGCAGCACAGCGTGTGCCACGGGAAGTAATTACATGGGGGTCTTAATTACCTTCGTAAATTAAGGCCTCAGTTACTTGCTTGCCAGACTCTTATGCCTTGTGTGTTAAACCTGCCTAATGCTGTCAGTCTGGTTTCATTCAGGCCCGTGGAGATCCTGGTGATAAAGTACTTGAACACACTAGTTAGATTCAGTGAGTTATGTAAATCCGTCCTAAAAATCTCCATGCTCTTTCATCCCTGAAACTGCTGCTCCACTCCTAAGAGAAGGCTGCAGTTGAATGTGGGGGTCTCTTAGTCCAGAAATTGCTTGGGAACAGTGGCAATAAATGCTTTCTCATTTTCTTTTTTTTTTGCTGTTGGTGCTTTTGAGAAGTCCTTTTTGGGGGTGAAATTTCCCATGCCAGATCTTAGCCTGGAAGGGAGATTTCTTGGAAAGGTTGGGCTGAATTTTTTCCGTTAGTTTTGAGATTAAGAATGGAATAAGTCTTTGAGAAAATCGTTTTTCATGCAGCAATAGAAACAATTGCCAAACACTGAAGCTGAATATCTGGAAAGCTCCCAAGCCAAACCACAAGCCTGGGTGTGAGAGGGCATATGCTTTTTGTTAATAAAGCTGGCCAGCAGCAGCTTTGTCAAGTGCTGAAAATTATGAACGGACCTTATCACATCAATGAAACCAGTTTAAAGAATCACAAGGGCTAAAACTACAATGAAATGGGATTTTTCTTCTGGTCCAGTCACGCTCTGCTAGCCCTTGGGTTCGCCAGTGATCCTGCAGGTAGAAGGGGACCACGGATCTCTGGGGCTGCAGATGTGGGGTGAGCCGGGGCAGGAGGGCACCTGCTGCAACGGGAACAGCCGTGACCCCCCTTCGGTGGAGAACTGGGGCTTTGACTTTGAGCGCATGTGTCCCTGCAAGCGTTTGGGTGTCTGTCGCTCCCAGGAGAAATGCAGCTTTGGTGTTCTGGGGATGCGCAAATTTAGTGAGTCTTGAAACAGTAGGGGAGGCAAAATATATAATGGAAACACTTAATTTCTTTTTTTATTTTAAAAAAAGAGAGAAAATGGTGCTTAGAGACCAAATGCATGAAAGAAAAATCTACAGAAAAGGAGAGTGAGAGAAAGAGAAAGGGAGAAAGAAAGAGAGAATGAATGAAAGGAAGCAAGAAAGAGAGAGAAAGGAAAAAGAAAGATAAAGGTACATGATAAAGAAGAAGATAAAGATAGAGAGCAAGAGGAAAGAGAAAGAGAAAGAAAGAGAGGAAAAGGAAAGGGAAAAGGAAAAAGGAAAGGAAGGACTGCATGCATCAGGGGAGAAGTGGTCTGAAAATTACATGAACAACATTTTAGCTGTTGTGCAAATCAGGATGTTCAGGAAATTACTTTTTGATGGAAAAAACCTTCCTCAAAATTGTTTTGTGGAAAACATCTCTCCAGCTCACTGACAACACCCCTGAAGAGAGCATTTCCCCTGCGTTTCAGGGCTGGAGGATGCTGAGGGAAGGTGTTTGTCCTGCTCTCCTGCAGAGAGCATCACCCTGAGCCCCAGCAGGAGGGGAGCTGGGCATGGGTGCAGAGAGGAGATTCACCCACTGCCTTGGATGAGAAAATACCATCTCTCCGCGAAATCTTCCTTAGCTCTATGTTCCCCTCACTTGTCACCTTTGAACTATGATCAGGAGGGCAAACACCCAATGGGAGGATGCAGCAATGACAAAATCAGGGCCAGGTCTGTTTGTACCACGTGCCTGATGCTCAGGTCCTGAATTTTCCTGCTCACCCTCACGCAGCACAACAGGGCAAAGCAACGTGGGGAAGACCAGGCACCATGTTAAGTCTTGTAGCATCACTCACAGCCATGAAATCATGCACCTTGCCTGATGGTGCAGGTGACCAGATATTTGCAAGGAGACGATGGGCTTGAAAGCTTCTAGTTCAACTGCGGTTGCCTCACACCCCATGGACAAGCTGTCTATGCTCCACATGCATGCCATGCGCGTAAACTGATTGCATGAAACCTTGCTTCATGCCTGTTGCTCAACAGAAGTCCTTATTAAAAGTAAATCTCCTTGTTAAAAATAAATCTCTCCCTAAATAGCATGCACGCCGTTTTTCCTTACACAAGCTGTCCTTAGGCCTTCAGAGGCAGCTTGTTTTATATTTCACATAATAATTCCTTAATGACAGTTGGCTTTTACAGACACAGCATAACTCAGCTACTGCTGCACCGATACCCTGATTTCTGAAAATTTGGCTGTAACAGCATGGAAGCCAGGATGTGGGCTGGGACTAGGATGGTCATGCAGTGAGGAAATGAGGAGATACTGGCAGGTGGGTTGCCCAAAGCTGTTTCCAAAATGGTTTTGGCATTACCATATCTATGAGCAAAGGCTGTAATAAAGAGTCATGAAGTGTCTGCTAGGATTTAAAAGCAGAAAAAATGGCCTTAGCTCACCACAAGGAGATTGATTTTAATGTTTGCAAGACGACTCATAACTGCACTGAAATATGGTGCCAAGGAAGCACCTACCAGCTCCGGACTCATTAAGATGTCCTGATGATTTTTGGAGAAAGTAATCGTGGTAAAGCCAAACTCCTACTGGGCTGGAAGCCTTCGGGAGAGGGTGTCCAGCCCCGCACACCAAAACTACACCCCAGCATGCCAGAGCATCGAGCTGAACTGCAGCAGGATTTCCTGGAATAAAGAAGAGCCATCCCTGAACTGCTCCCCAGTCCTACAAACCACACCAGGAGGGCTCAGCGGCAGGAGCACTGGGATTGCTCTCAGCTGCCCTGCCCTGCACCCTGTCGCCCAAACATCCTGCCAGACAGGCAGGACACAGGCAGTTGTAACTTGTTTTTTGGGTGACTCTCAGCTGCAGCGTCCTGACGTTTTTCTCAGACCAAACACCTGCCTTTCCAGGGTTCACTTCTTTGGTTATTCAACCACACACCCATCAGCAGAATTTCTGAACCACAGAAAAAATACAACGCAGCCACCAAACATGTGTTTGCTCTAATTTAATCTTTATTTCAAAAATAAAAATAAAATCCACATCTTCGTCAGCTGTACTAATGACTTCCCATGTGAGTTCATACTGAAACTTGCATGAAACTCTGATTTACTGTGTTTACTTTGCATGGAGGAAGGATGTTAGAAAACTTAAAAACATAATCATGCATAGCTTCTTACATAAATAACATTAATTTCGTCTAACTATAATAATTGTTATAGTTCTATTAAGATTATTAATACCCTTACATTAATAGACCATCAGCCCAAAAGTATATGAAGAGAGAGATTAGAAAAAAATCATCAGGAAGTAAAGCACATCTATCATCATCATTTTTCTTTGATTACCTCAAATAACCACAGCAAATCTGTTTTTGTAGGTCAGGTTTTCTTTGAAGTACATTAACTGTTCAACCTCAGTGCAACTATTCTGTATTAGCATAAAATGATTTTGTAATGCAGTATTTGGGTAAAAAGAGGGCCAAAAGCACATAAATGTGGCTACTCAGAAGCTGATGCTCAGGCACATGTTTTCCATCCTGGTCTTCAGAGGCCACTTTAAAGATTAATTCTTTCTCCTTGCACGACCTTTGCTCGCTTCTTCCAAATATCCTGCATTAAAAAACAAACAAACAAACAAACAAACACTTAGAAGCCACCATCTTTGGATACAGTGTTTCCTGCTTATTCCTGGCATGAGCTTATCTGTTTGGCCATGTATTCATAAAAATACCCATTAACTTCTTCATTGTCTTTTCAAAGTCTCCAAGAGAAAAGTACAGACAACACTAAATGAAATAAAAAGCTACAAATCCCAACGCACAAAACCACACGTGAAATAAGCCAAAAGGCTCATTGGATTGATGTGGTATGCAGAGGAGACACCACAGATGGGTACTGAATAAACTGTGTCCTCCTATTCTTGCATATGCAGTTAGAGTCACCCAAACAGCTGCTGGCGTAAGTTTGCCCTAGCATGGCTGATTTGCACGGAAAGATACCAAGGCACGTGGATGAAATCAATTTTGGCAGCTCAGAGGTGGGAATGGCGATGAGCAGAGTTGGAGGAGGAACTTGCAGAGCTCCTCCGCTGCTTTCCAGAGACGTGAAGGGGCTGCCTGGAGAGCAAGGGCACTTCTCCAGCACAGGCAGCAAGAAGCAGCCTTATCAGCTAAAAAGCCAAAAATTCTTGCCAGTTACAAGATAAGGTCATGATTTAAGATTACCACAAGGTCTGAGGCAGAAGTCACTTTATATTTTGCCTGTCCAAATTCAATCATTTCTTTCTCCAGGTGCTCTTGGATCGTGTTCTTTACGTCAATGTAGTAGCACTCTGAGCTGGCGAAGTGACAGGAAATAAGGCATCACTCACTACCACATTGATTACGAACGACCGGTGGAAAAAAGCTCATGCATCCCAGGTCGTGGACATACACGACCTAAAGCAATACTTCACCTGCTTGATCTCAGATTACAAGCAACCAGAGTGGCAATCAGAGAAGTCAGTCAGAGCAGACCTGTGTGTTCAGTAAGGGTTCTTGCTCTGCACTCAGACAGTTGCATCAACCCACTTATTTTGTAATCAGATCTTAGTTAAGAAGACTTTGATGGTGTTTAGCAGCTAAACAAATATTGACAGCTGTATCTGGAGGTGGTTTCCTACCTTTCGGAAACCTGATGTCTTGTTTGCTCTGGAGCCATGAATAAGTAGGGATGGAAGAACACCTTGTCTCCCTTCTCCATGACAATGTGCACCCTGGGACTCTTCTCATTGTAATCCAGCAGCCCATGGAAAAATTTGATTGGCGGACTCTAGAAACCAAGGAAGAGTGGAAATAATTCAGTGAAATTAGAACAACACCGGTTTCTCAGTGTAGAAGAAGAGATGCAAAGGCAGTTACTCATTTTCTTTCTTGAAGGTAGTACATTCAATATACCTGATGAAAAGTCTGCATGTTCGCCTACAAGCCTTGCTAATCAGTTGTAAAGACTCATTTGTAAAGAACCAGAATGGTCCACTCCGCTTTCTGGATCATCTTTGCATATCTCACAGACAGCTCAGCTTCCCCAGTTGCACCTCATACACACTTACAACAGGACTTCTCTGCTCACTTTCCCTTTTGACCTGCAAACCCCTATGAGAAATTCTCATCTCACAACTAAAGTGTTCTTCATCTGCTTTCTAAAGTTGAATTCAAACAATTAAGAACTTCTCTCCACTGGAGAGAATGGAGAAGAGCACAAGGGAGCCCCACAAGTGTTGCCTGATGCCCCCACAAGTGTTGCCTGATGCCACCTCTAGGGTGTCAAGTCCAGCCCCCAGCTCCAAGCACAGCCAACACTGGGCCAGGTCAGGAAGCATCCTTGCTTAGGAGAAGAATACTGCTTGAAATTAAACTCTGGTCAATTGTTTATCATCCAGTTTTCTTCTACAGGAAAATAAACATGCTTGCCTGGCAGGAACAAATTCAGAGAAGGAGAAAGCATCTTCAGACTTGGCAAGACTAGAGAAAAACAGTTGATCAGTGTGAACAGAGACCAATTTGTAACAGACAGTTTCCCAGACACAGACTGTTAGAGTGTACCCGCCAGCCAAAATGTGGTCGCCTCATGCACGCCCTCCCCAACCCCCCGTGCTGCTCTACCTCCCACTTGGGATAGCCATGAGGCTTCAGAGGCTCCTTGTGTGTCCCTGGCTGCACGACCAGGCAGCCGTTGTCCTGGTTGGCCCTCTCCATGGCGGTCCAGGAGCACACGATGCGGTCCGTGAGTCGGAAGGGAAGTAATGCAAGTCCTGATGCACGGGGTAGCGAGAACTCAGGTTACCTGAAACACGGGGAATGCAGGTGGTTGCGCTGAAAAGACTCTTCATGCACTTTAGATGTGACATAGAATTGTCCTGGGGAACATCACGTCACTTATGGTGGTAATGTGTCCCAAGAAGCTGCTCCAAAGCTGCAGGTGAAGCACTGCAGTCTCTAAGCGTGCTCCTTGCTGGCACTCAATTCTGAGGCCAAATGAGTTTAAATCTCACTCTATGGCACAGTGAGACTCCAAACACTGTTCTTGGGTCCATAGCTGCTCTGCGGAGTTGTTGGGAATGGCATGAACAAACTGAGTGTTTTAATAACTAAACGTACTCTGTGCCTGCACAGAAGCTGGACACCTCAGAATACGAAACAGCTTGGGTCTCAGCTCTGCTGAACTGCAAAAGCTTATGAAGAGTCAAATCAACTTTGAAAAAACTGTGATGTTTGCAATTAAACTTCCTTTTTCCCCCCATTTCTCTTGTATGAAGTAAGACTTTGATCTGCAGCACTAGAAGCCAAAGCCAGGATTCCAAATCCTTCCTTTGGCACCTATTTATGTGTCTTCATATCAACGCGCTGAGCATGCAACCACTGTCAGCAAGGTCAGGAGTCAGACTAAATTTGACGTCTGAACTGTTAGTCTGGAAAATAGCACATACACTCTAAGCAAAGGATCTTCTCTGTATTTATTGTCTTTTACCAAGCTCCAGGAAGCACTTATTTTTAACACATGTGAAATGTCAAGCCTAAAAAAAAAAGTGTCTTAAACAGTAGGGCTTCATGCAAGTGCAGACGGCTGAATAAGCAGCTCGGTGTCTGATTTTTGCATGCTCCTTTTTGAAACTTGAATGCTGCTTTTAAAAAAAAATAGTTAAGGGACAGTTAACATGGTGCAAAGACCTAAACTGCGGAAACATATTAAATTAGTTGGAAGAATGTTTTAGATGTAACATGCGGCTAGATATAACAGCACTTCAATTTAGGAGGCACACACATACCTCCCAACATGTGAGCCCAACCATCTACAGCAAACCGAACGATAAGAAACGCATCCCACCAAGCCAGGACTAAACTAAAACACGCTATTACCAAAATAACTTTATATATTTTCAGAATTGTTTTTAATTCAATTCAAGCAACTTTTCTAAAAGGGTAGGTGCCGCTTCAGTTAAATACACGGCAACCCAGGCATACGTAACAACTTCTGCATTTCCCTGGAGCTCTGCTTACCAGGATCTGGAAGCTTATTTATCAGCATCATCTGCATGGCCATTATATTTGGCCCTATGAAGCATTCAACATATTTTAGGATCTACAGAGGAAAAAGCAATAGAAAAAAAGATGTGCTTTATGCTACAGTAATACATTGCAAACAAAAAAAAGCTAGGCAGACGTATACCGTAAACTAACTGTTGATTGGGTTGTTCATGAGGATGGGCCTATTATCAGCAGTTTTATCCAAAATAAAAACCAAGCACAAACAAACCACCTATAGATGCTGCCGTAGGCGCGATGCTCACCAGCGCTTTTCCTGCTGCAGTATATGCCGAGGCATTGCCAAAGATGAATGACTGCCAGGGCAACAGCTCAAGAGCTCTACAAAATCTCGTATGTCCACCTCTGATTCTCCAACATAACCTGACCTTTGTAGTACTCCAGTATCCAGGACAAGCCAATACATGAGGAACTGTATCTACACATTACATACATTAATATACTTTCTTATGTTATGAAAAGTGATGGGAATCTGCTGCTGCTAACTCCCCCAACACAAACACAAAGTACAAATCCATCTGATATTGGATGGAGCATGTATTAAAGTAGGCTGTACAGAACAGAGCATCACATAACCTTCCAGAAGGGTTAGTTTGGCCTGCCCAGGCTGGTCTTTGCCTTCACCTTGGCATTAAAACATATATATGTTCACAAATCTCTACTAGGTTCTCCCACCACCATCCCCCTATTGGCTTTTTACCTCTGGCAGAATACAGTATCTGAACAACTCTTCATCTTCCCGGAAATCATGCACTTTATTAACTGTTTTTTCCAGCTGAACAAAGTTGGGTCTGCAGATCTCATCTCTCATTATCAGAACTCCCGGTGGATTCACCTCCTTGTTACAGATCCTCACAAACTCCTTCCTGCAAAGCAGAGGGAACCGGAGAAGCCAGAACACATTTTAGCCATGTTCAGCCAGATTACTCTCCTCAAAGACACTATTGCTACAGAGGAAGGTATCCAGCAACACCACACGCATCTATGTTGCGAGAGTCCAGCTTCACCCAGCTTCCCAGAGCTCCCTCGGGAGCACACAGGACCCCCCAGCACCTTAGGCAAGTGCCCCATACCTGAAGCGTTCAATGTCTTCGTCAGAAACGAGCTTCTTAATGAGCAGATACCCATTGTCTTCATAGAACTGCCTTTGCTCTGTGGTGACGACATCGTTGTCCAGGGTATAGCTGAGACACAGGGGAGAAACACGTCAGTAGGACCGGGCAGAACAACGGGAGCACCGTCAGTGAGACCCGGCAGGAGGACGGTGCTGTGCTGGGGATCAGCGGTTGCTGCGGAGAGGCAGGCATCTCCAGGGGGGAATCAGCGAGAAACCCTCCCCACAGCAGACACCAAGGGCATTTGGAAGAAAATAATTAAAATTAATTGAAATTGAAATTCAATGTTTAATTTTTGATTTTTGTATGAATGAAAGTACAATTTACCAAAACATCCTTGGCTGAGCAGCAGCACAAGCTGCTGCTGAAGCAGGAGCCATTATCTGGGATATAAATTAAGGAAAATACACTCAAGCACAACAGAGTATGAAAACATTACTGCAGAGAAATGACACTCCTCCCAACATCTCACAGGGAAAGCACATACAAAGGAGATTCCAATTCATTTTAACGAGTTTAAACAAACATGACTGTGTTGTGCTAGGCAGGGGAGCACAGTCACCCCCCCTTGCTAATGAAGCCTCACAACAGCTTTGGGCATGGTATTGAAGCTTCACCCAAAGAAAGTTTAAACCTTACCTGGTGAAGTCACATGAGGTGTGAGCCTGGACACAGCCCGTGCATGCAAATGCAATTGATACTGGCAAGTCAGAGGGAAGCAAAAGGGGTGAGAGGAGCAGCTGAGGAGGGAGATGCAAGAAGGGAAAAGCTCAGGGGGGAGTGAGGAGGAAGAGGCACATGCAGGGTGCAGGCAGTCAGCGAGAGCAGGGTGGGAAGCACCTGCGCTCTTCAGGAGAAACTCCTTCAACACAAACCTGCAAAGGAGCCAAGAAATCCAGACTTCTCCATAAAACCTCCTCACCCAGCCATCCAAGAAAAAGACAGACATCAACCTGGGAAAGTCAAACTCTCAAATAACGCAGCAAGTAAGCTTCCTTGTGTGCTTGCAGTTTGAGGCAAGTCGCCAAGTGCAAACGCTGCTTTTCCTGCCAGCTCAGTTCAGAGCTGCAGATGAATTCACAAGTGTAAGAGCAAAGGTCTTGCAAAGACAATTGCGAATGAGGTTTCTTCTCCGTTAACACCTTTCAGTTGATGAGAGAGGAGGCTGGGGGTACCGAGTGCAGCACGTTCTGCTTTCTTACATGAAGCATCCAAGAAACATCTCCGGAATCCTCCATGCCCCATTTCATGCTGTGGAAGAAGACCATGCCTTGCGCTATCCAGCTCACAACATGGCCGATGTGGAGACCACTGTTGCTTTCCACTCACCCCCCTCCTCCCTTCTCACCCCAGCCCCAGATCAGAAAGGATACAGGAGCAGTGTATCCCAGACGTGGGGATAAGTGCCGTAGGACGGCATCCAGCGGAGCAGTTGGTTTGGCTTTTCCATGATGACTTTGAGGAGACAGCACCAAGAGCCCAGCTTGCCGCCCAGCACTTATAAGGTCTGCACAGCGCTTGGCGCGAAGCTCAACCACAGCACGTGCAGCATCGAGATGACAGTCCCTGGGTGCGGTTTGCTCCTCTTCACCTCCCCTGCACATGGGCTGGTGCCTGTGCATGCCCGGGAGCCTCTCAAGAAGCCGTGGGTCTCACCACCCTGGCTCGGCGAGGGGCAGGAGTGAAGGAATGGGAAGGTTTGGGAACAGGAGGGCTTGTTGCCAGAGGCTGGGAAGGAGGTGAGGAAAGTTCAAGCATGCTTCTACATGCTCCCTTTCCTGTACTCTGCTCATTCACAGCTGCCAGCAGCTGCCGTGATGGCTGCAAGGACATAGCCAACAAGCGTGCAGAACCCAGCGCCTGGTGCGCTCAGTCACACACCACATCTGTGCTGGCATAGGTGGTTTGCCAAGTTAAACAGCATGATGGCTCCCATCCTCTAAGAGGGCCCTGCTGGGAAAGAAAAAGCCTGGAGGGGAAATCCTGGAGTAGGGAGAGAAGGACAAGTGAAGCTAGCTTAAAAATGGGGAGCTGCAAACAGAGGTTGCCAAGGCCTTGTATTCCTCTCAAGTTGGGGCATGCTTGAAAATTATGTATTCAATGTACACTGTCCTTAGCAGTGCGCTTAGTCACTCTCGTCTGGCTGCATTAACTCCGTGAGTGGTATTTGAGAGGAGATAAATATTGAGTTGCATATGGATCCGTAACAGACCTGCAGCACAGTCCAGAAGATTATTTTTGACATCTTCGCACATGTCCCCTGTTGCCACCGCGCCGTAGAGCCTCACCGCTCCCGCAAAGTGGACTTCAGCCCCACAATGTCACGGTTCAGACTAGCTTGTGCCATTAGTGTGACAGTCAGTTCATCCTCACTTTTCCCTCAAGCTCTACCTTGTGAAGCAGACACTACTGAAAGGTGGGGTTTGTCCTGCTGGAATTTGCTGTCCCTTCATCTTTCCCCTCTCCCTGGGCCGACTTCACAGCCTGCGGGTCAAGACACTTGCTGCAGGAGGGAAGGTGGAGGTACGGCTCTTGCTGCAATGACCAGGAGTGGATTGAATGCAGCATGTCCTCATTACGAATGGGGGTCAGCTTTCCTTCAGTCTCTTCTGACTCCAGTAAAGGTGGAGGCCACAGGCTGAACTTGGTCCTTCTTTTAGCAGGGCTTTTCCTTTTTTTCACATGAGCTTTTCACAGGTTAACAAAAAAAATCTCCTTTCTAATGGAAATAGCTCGATACTTTGGGATTGCAAAAATCATTGAGCAGTGGGCAGTGTGTTTGGGAACAGCACTCGGGTTTCTGCACTTGTTCTTCATGGGGCCACGGCACGCTGGGCAGGTTTCCTCCTAGAAAAATAGAAGCTTAGTGCAGCGAGTGACTTGGTTAATTATTGGACCTGAAGGCTGGTAAGACCTTGCAGCTCTCCTGTGGCCGCAGCTCCCTCTGCAGTCACCTGCCTGACATGCCCAAATCAGCTGCACTGTACTGCCAGGAAACCAAACTCTAAGAAATACATTGTTGTTGTGGTTTTGTTTTTTTCTCCAAAAAGCGCAGTTTTGGAGAGTGAGGTGAATTTCTCGTGCTGAATTTCCACTGGTGGGGCATGTGCTTTGGAAACCTGTGATTGCAGAATCTCTGCTGACTGGGATGGGTGGGAACAGGAACAAGAAAGCAGTTACCAGGTAGATCCCTCACACAGGAGGTCACATTTGCATGAACTGATGAGGCATCCAGCCCTTGCTCAAATAGCCTGTGAGGAAGTGCTTGTAGATCCTTACTCTCCCAGGGACATGGTCCTGCACCCATGAGCATGTAGCTCTGCTCAGAAGGAGCCAAAAAGCCCTGTTGGATCTCGCTATGCCCAGGGTCATTTCAGGGGGCAAGGATCAGACTCCTTGGCATTGCTAGGATGCAACTGAGCTGGCCCTGCACACAGCCGAGGACAGCTTGCCTAAGCTTAGTCCTCCCCAGGCTCTAGAGTATCCTCAACCTGTTGTTGTAGGAAGGAGTGAGGACATGAGTCTCTCATCAGGTGGGAAAACTGCCGAGTTTAGATGGTCTGTGAGGTCTTTGATGGGTTTGTTCTTCTGAAAGAGGAAATTTAAGCCTAAATCCGTAGGCAGAGATGCACAAGTTTTTAAAAACGAAGCCAAAGTTCTTCCTTTCCTTCTCTCTCCCCGCCGTAGTAAGAGAAATTCAGAGTCTGGAAACCCTGGGAATCTGATGGACACCTGTAGCTCTTCTCTGTGGTCACAGCTCCCTCTGCAGTCAACTCAGCTACACCAGTAATGCCAGAGAGTGAAGTCTCTCCGCGAATCCTGTTGTGAACCAGACAGGATACTCACAAAAATCCCAAGGAGAGCACCAGGCTGAGAAGGTCCAAGTCTGGAGAGTCATCACGGCACGTCTCCCCAAGAGCAGGATCAGTGCCAGGGTTATAGAGAGGGCAAGGGAAGAGGTGCAGGAACCAGGAACCCACTCACTGAGCAGGGCTGGGAGACTGTCCTGAAGTCTCCCTCTCGTCAGATTTCTTGGCGTTGTGGTCAAACCAGAGGCTACCGAGAGGATGTGTCTGTCTCTAGGTGGGAACCACAGCCCAGACACCTCACCACACCACCAAGGGTTTAGGACCAACGCAATAACTGTGCTCAGACCTTGCCTCGTTTAAAAAGCATACAAACAAACAAGAAAACCCATAGATGCTGCAGGAAAAGGAAGAAGCACAAACCCCTCTTCTGCATTACATTGTCATGGATGAAATGACTGCAACAGCTTCGACTTGCAGCCGCTTCTCTAGGCAGTCCACCGTTGAGCCTTGTGGGTTGAGGAAGGACTGTACCTGATCTCCAGTCTTGCCTGAGTGACCTCCTGAGCCGCAAGATAACAGAGCAGAAGAAGCCACAAGAGTCCATCAGTGTAGCCTTTGGTGCTGTTTTGGCACCTTCTTCAGTTGGAAAGGGTGGAAAAGAGCTGAAGATTGAGGGTTTGCACTGGGGTATTCAATGACACACCCACCGCCAGAATTTCCGAGCGGCAGAAATAATACAACACAGCCCTCAAACATGGTTTTGCTCTGATTTAATCTGTATTTCAAAAAATAGATTATGAAAGCAAAGGAATCTTTCAGAAAGCAAAGAAAAATATTGTGAAAGGCGAGAGGGTCATTTCAGTGCATGTCGCTCCACCCTGCCAGCAGTGCATCCTGAGGAGCATCCAACCGCCTCCCTGACCTGGCAGCACCAAAAGGCACCTTTTCCCAGACCCACCAGACTCAAAGGAGGACTCCCTCATTTCACACAGCCTGGGATCAGTTGTGCAAGGCCAATGGGAGGCTGGTTTGCTGGCCCAGTAGCTCCCAACCCTGTCATCTACATATTTCACTTGTGCCAGCGCTGCTCGGTAAGATATGATGCCACACCAGGTCATGTTTAAGGAACTCTACCAGCGATCATATGCCAGCCCATTGATCCCATTTTTTTACGCAAGTGGTTGCTGCTTCCCCTTTATCCAGTTCCTTACGCTGTTAATTCTGCTGGTACCAATATCCTCATCTTCATCAGCTGTACTAATGACTTCCCACGTGAGCTATACTGAGGGCTTGCATGAAACTCTGATTCATTTTATTTCTTTTGCGTAGAAAAGGAAGTTGGAAATGTATAACGTTTATACCCTTGCATAAATTCTTGCATAAAATCTTATGTTAGTATAGCATCATTCCAAAAGTATGTCATGCGAGAAACTTTTAAAAAACAAGAATGAAAACATCAAGAAAATCAAGATCTTCTTTCAAGACTTTAATTCTTTGATTGTCTAAGGTAACCACAGCAAATCTCTGTTTTTCTAGGTTAGCTTTTCTTTGATGTGCATCAGCTGTTCAGCCTCAGTGCAATTATTTTGTATTAGCAGAAAATGATTTTGCAGTGCAGCATTTGGCTAAGTTACCAATACAGAGTTCAACAAAGCACACACCATTCTGCCTGCTGAGGCAGAGCCTGCACTTTCCGATCAGAGAAGCTCATTCTCAGGCACGTGTTTTCCATCCTGCTCTTCAGAGGTTGTCTACAGGTTAATTCTTTCCCCTTGCACAAGCCGCGCTCGGAAGTTCCAAATATCCTTCAAAACAAAAATGAGACAAAGGAAAATCCTTAAGGGCCAGCAAAAACAGTAACCAGGATTCCACTTTACAGAAATGGAAATAGATACAGCATTCTCAGCTTAGCTAAGTCCCCATAAAAACATACCAAAACACTTACTGAATATCCTTTCAAATCCTAAATATCAAGAACCAAAATGCAGCACTGACTAAGAAAGAGGTGCAACCTCCACCCCCAGGAGACAGGTAGTTTGCAGGTGTGACACAGACTGCAAGATGCCCATGGTTCAATTCTGGAAGGCGGCAGAAGAGGAAACATGAGCAGCACAGAGAACATTACCCTTGCAGAAGTCGCCCTCGCCTGCTTGTGCACACAGTGCCTCCCTTGTGCCGCCTTTGGGTGATCAAAAAACTCACCAGCTGACTACACCTTGCACACTGCTGCCCATGAGCATTACCTCCTCTTTTTTTTTTTTTTTTTTTTTTTTGTTTGCAGGCAGATGTATATTGCTGCTGACACACCCGCTGTAGCCTCAAGTCTAAACAACTGATGTGGGATTCTATTTAACCAAAAAAATTCAGTCTACTATTGCAGTCAGATGTGGCTACTTGTTTTAAAAGGAAAATCCACCCGCCATTAGGAGGGGAAACTGTAAGAACTGTGGACATACAAACCGTGGACGAGCACTGAATTTATTGCACCTTCTTATACTTGCGAATTCAGGTCAAGAGATGACCACATCTTCCTATTTACGTCGTGCAGTCCAAACACAACCGCAAAGAGCTCTGGTTCACACACACTCCACACAACAAACCGTGAACCAGGAGATGCAGTGAAGGGCAAAGCTTGCATAGACTTCACCCCATTCCTGCCTTGCTACGTTAGACCTCCCCACTCCCACCCAGCGGGGTGAAGCCTAGACCCCCTCGAATGGTGTAAGAAGTGCATGTGAGCAGCCTCAGAGCTGAGCCATCATGACAGCAGAGTCTGTGGCTCCTCCTCACTTATGCTACAACATCAGTCACAGTCACATAAAGAAGTGCTGATCTAATCTCCACCAACTCAGCCGGCCCTGGAAGGGATCGAGGCGTGCTCACAAAACCCATTTTGCCAAGCAGAGCTGGAGGAGGAACTTCTAGAGCTCAAGGGATGTGAAGAGGCTGCCCAGGGAGCAAGGCCACTTCTCCAGCATAGCAAGAAGCAGCCTTATGAGCAAAAAGGCCCCAAAAAAGCCTGCCGGTCATCCTCCAAACATCAGATCTTTTATTCTGCCAAGCACCTCTGCTTGGCCCAGCTTGATCTGCCAAACTGAGCATAGCAAAAAGCACAAATCTGTATCACGAGAGACTTAGGAAAGGGAACTGACCTACATTGTAACAAAGGGCATACAGCCAAGTCTTACCCTGAGTTCCACGGAAGTCGCGTTGTATTTCTTGTGAACCATTTCTACCAGTTCTTTCTCCAGGTCCTCTTGGATCGTGTTCTTGACGTCAATGTAGTAGCACTCTGAGCTGGCGAAGTGACAGCTTATACTCTGTGTGAGAAAATCGGGCATCACTCACTACCACATTGATTACAAATCAATGGTGGAAAAAAATCTCGTGCATCCCAGATCGTGGTCACCCCACCCCTTCCTTACAGATCATGTCAGCAAATTCATTCCTCTTTTCCGAGCACTCCTGCTCTCCTGAGAGTGTCTCCTTGGAGAAATACTCTTGCTGGAGAAATACTCTTGCTTGCTCTTCTTCCTTCCCTCCTCCCAAACACTCCCCCAGCATGAACTGTACTACTTGATCTCAGAATATCAGCAACTAGAGTGGGAATAGGGGAAGTCAGAGCTGGAGCAGACCTGTGTGTCCAGTAAGGGTTCTTACTTTCTGCACCCAGACAGTCACATCAACCCACTCATTTTGTAATCAGTTCTTGCTTAAGCAGAGTCTAGAGGAAATAAATAGAAATGCCCCACCAGAAAAAGCTGTTCTCTCATTACACGAGCTACGCCAGTTGCAAGCGAGATCATGCCAGATCTCAAAGGGTGCTGGACCATAACCTGGCTCAGAGAGCTCCAGGATACTCACTGATTTACCCCAAAGGCAGACAAATGTTGGGATTTGGCACAGTATGAGGAAGCTCTTGTGTTTCTGCAGGATGCTAAACCTAACTATTGCTCCACTAGCCAGGAAAGAGCCAGCAGATGAGACTTTCAGTACCTGATGTCCTCTCTGCTTTCAGGATTGCAGGAGGAAGGAATTCCACACCAGTACACTGCTACTGGGGCTGAAAGAATGGGCCATATAGTAGTCGATGCAGGCAAAACAAAATAAAAATAGAGCAGCCCGTGTTGCAGTGCATGAGGGGAAATACCTGCGTTGCTACTAGTAGCTACATTAGAGGCTACAGTTCCCTTACGCGCCTCAATGAATCCACTTCTGAGAAAAGATCACGGCCCCAAAGGAGGGCACTTTTGCCTGTTTCAGTTAAATAATCATGATGCAAAACAAATACATGATGTGTAATCAAATCTTTAATAGAAAAATGGGTTGTGTTGTCATATAAATAAATATTATTTATTGGATGATGAAGGCTCCTGCTATCCAGAGATGAGATACCAAGAAAGCAGGGGGAAGAAAGGTAGAGAAGCTCCTGATACTTGGGACAGCTGAAAGGGAGCTGTTGGAAAAGCAAGTACAACTGGCCAGGCTTCAAACATAGATTCAACATCTAATTTCTACTCCTGCTCTGTTTTTCTCAAGCAGCCCCACAGCATGCTCTTCTCCCAAAAGACAGAGATGTTTAAAAATAAAACATAAAAAAGAGAGTGTAAAAGTATATTAGGAAGCTAAAAACTCATTAAAAAGTTTACCCACATATTCATGAGCTTGGAAAGGGAGGGGATAGTTGGATCAGTTTTAAAAAAATCAAAAATGTCAAAGCTGTATCAAGAGATGGTTTCCTACCTTTCGGAAACCTGATGTTTTGTTTATCCCAGAGCCGTGAATGAGCAGGGGATGGAAGAACACCGTGTCTCCCTTCTCCATGACAAGGTGAACCCTGGGAGTCTTCTCATCCTCATCAAGCAGCCCATGGAAAAGTTTGTTGGCTTTACCCTAGAAAAAAAGGCTGAGTTGAAACCACTCGGTTAAAATTAGAGCAAGTGCCAATTCTCGGTGCGAGGGATAGCAGGGACAGCTTCTGATCTGCTTTCCTCTGGGCAGTGTATTCGGTATGCCCAACTAAGAGCCTGCCCCCTTGCCTACAAGTCTTCCTACTTCAAGCCTGAGGTACAGCAAAATAATACTTTTTCTGTTTTCTGAAGCTGGATTCAGACAATTAAGAACTTTTCTCGGCTGGAGAGAACAGAGAAGAGCATCAGGGAATCCCACAATTGTGGCCTGATGCCACCGCTGGGGTCCAGCCTTCTGCTCCCAGTATAACCATCACCAACGCCAGGCCAGGTCAGGAAACATCTGTTCTTAAGAGGAAGATACCGCTTGATATATAATTGCATCCAGTTGTTTACTATCCAATTTCTCCTCTTCGAGACAGTACACATGCTCACCAGGCAGGAACAAATTTACAGGAGGAGAAAGAGTCCTCAGACTTGGCAAAGGCCATGGAAAATGGTTCCGTGTGTTTATGCCATTATGCCACGCCGTGCTGGACAATTTCTAGGTGAAAGTGGGAACAGAGGCAAATCTACCCAGGTGACATGGAATGAGGTCAACGAAGCAACAAGTCAGTGTTTGCGCAAACAGAAAAACTATCACTGAAAACCTCAGCTTTGACCTGTGCATCATCCCTCCACGGTGAGCTCTCCCCAGCCAAAACGTGGTCCTCTCATGCACGCCCTTCCCAAGCCCCCCATGACGCTCTACCTCCCACTTGGGATAGCCATGAGGCTTCAGGGGCTCCTTGTGCGTCCCTGGCTGCACGACCAGGCAGCCGTTGTCCTGGTTGGCCTTTTCCATGGCGGTCCAGGCGCACACGATGCGGGCCGCAGGCCGGAAGGGGAAATAGTGCAAGTCCTGATGCATGGGGTGGAGAAAAGTCTGTTTATCTGCAACACAGGTTCAAAACCTTCAACCTCATCAAACGTGACACAGCCTTTTCCTTCCCGTTAAACCATTGCACCTGTGTAACGTGTCCTAAGAAGCTACTGCTTGCCACTGGAGGACTTCGTGTACTCGGTGTCTGCTCCAGCCCACCACTGACTTGGAAGCCAAATGGGTTAGCTTACACCCCATCCCAAGATGGACCAAGAGCACAGTGGTGGCTCTTGGTTCAGCAATGGCATGGGGATACAGTGAGTGCCAGGAGGCTGCCTGGCTGTGCAATCCCTCAGCAGACTCCTTTTGCTGACCTTCACCACCAACAACCCCCTGCCAAGTTTTCACCGTTCACTTTGGCTGCTCTCCAGTTGTGTGAACTTTAACCAGCACAGCGTTGCACAAACCTTCCCCAGTACAAAGACTTTCAAACAGCCGTGCTGTCTGTACTCACTTGATCTATCACTGTGTTGCAAGAGAATCAACCCTGTCTGTGCTGCACCCAACACATGTTTATTTAGCCGCCTTCTCAAAAAAAAAAAAAAAAAAAAAAAAAAATCTCAAGTTGTGGACTGCAGCCTCCCCAGACAGCCTACCCAGCACTCTATTAGCCTTCGCCCTGGAGACTTTTTTCCATGAAGTCTAAACAAAAATAAATATTTCTGAAGTTTTGTTTGTTAATTCTTTTCCACTATGGAAATGGAAACAGATCATCCACACCAAAACAGCCTTTTATGTATTATTTATGTATTTATTTTGCCATTGAGTTTGTTCCTCAAATAGATATAGTTAGGATGTTTCCACTTGCCTCATCTGCCATATTATTTAGACTTTGGGCAAACTCTCCTAAGATCTGCACCGCTCCTAAAATACTCCTCAAAGATATTGAATGGAGACCTTGCACATATGAAGCAGCTTCCCATTTCTTGTCCGTTATTGTTTTACTTTAAAAATGTATGGTCTCCTGTTGAATTTCCAAACCAAAATGACACAGCTTTCTGTGGAGTATTTAAGGTGACAAGTGGAGAGGACTTGAACAAACTCAGTATTTTAATAACTCAATGTACTATGTATCTGCTCAGAAGCTGCACACCTGAGAATAAGAAACATAGCTCAGGTCTCCACTTCGCTAAACTGAAACAGCTTATGCAGAGTCAAAGCTACTTTGAAAAACCATAATATGGTTAGTCTCTGGTTCTCTTCCTCTCTCCCTGCCCATCACCCTTGTATAAATTATGATCTCAATTTCCAGCAGCAGGAGCCAAAGCCAGGCTTCAAAATCCATCTTTTGGCAACTATTCAAGTATCTCCATATCAAAGCGCTGAGTGTGCAACAACTGTCAGTGAGGTCAGGAGCCTATAAACTCCAAGCAAAGGATGATGTCTGTATTTATTGCCTTTTACCGAGGTCCACGGAAGCACTCATTTTCAACACATTGGAAAAGTCGAGCTTAAAAAGCATGTCATGTTTTAAGCCCTGGCCCTTTATGCAAGTGCAGCTGGCTGAATAGGAAGCTCGCTTGCCCACTTGAACACGTCAGTGGTGCAGCCATCTTTAGCAAACAAACATCCCCTGAACATTGAACGACAAGAAACGTTATCTCATCAAGCCCAGGTTAAAAGAAAACAAACTATTACCAAAGTGGCCTCATAAATTTTCAAAGTTATTTGGTTTTAATTTGTCTCTTTTTTTTTTCAAACAGCTTTTCTAAAACAAAGTTCAGTTTTGGCTGGATAGACAGCATATACACAACAATTTCTCTATTTTCCTCTTATCCAAGTTTTCCTTACCAGAATCTGGAAGTTTATTTATCAACATGGTGTGCATTGCCATAATGTTTGGCCCTGTGAAGCACTCAACATATTTGAGGACCTACAGGGAAGAAAACATTAGAAAAAAAATATTAGAAACATGAAAGACGAGAGGTAAGGTTGCTGAGGAAGCACTGGGACCTGGACGTTTGGCTGAGGACTAGGGTAGAGGAGGAGGAGGTTGGGATGGAGGGATGCAGGACAGGAGGCAGGATCCGGCATGGCACACAAACGGGCATGGTGGTAGGAGGCCAAGACAGAAGATGGTGCAGGAGGCTGCTGAGTGAAAAGATGGGGAGGGTCACTTCCACAAAGCTTTGGCTTTCCACCACAACATGAATATTGGCTACAAAGCTGGACCTGCCCAGAGAGCAGATGCTTTGCCTGGATAAAAGACATTCAGCAAATGTTGCTGATCTGTCCTACTAGCCCGACACAGTTTGGGCTAGTCGCATTCCTGACTGGCTCACCCACCACAGGAGCAGAGGAGCACTGCTTTAAGTCTTCTACCCTGGCCACCATCCATCCCGTGTTCATGCAGGACACTCTTAAAAGATAGCTTGATATTCCTTCCTCACATATATACTTATGGGAGTGACATACAGGGGCTCTAATGGACAAAGGATATAGCTTTAGCGGAACCAAAAAAAGCTTCTTCACAGAGGCATTAAAACATAGATTCATTCATACAGGCTTTTCCCCCATCATGCCCCTTTTTGCTGTTTTTTTTTTTTTTATTTTACCTCTGGCAGAGTACAGTATCTGAACAACTCTTTGTCTTCCTGGAAGTCCTGCACTTTATTAACTACTTCTTCAGACTGACCATACTGGGATTTCAGGGACTCGTCTTTCATAATCATAGCTCCCAGTGGATTCACCTCTTTTTTACAGATCCTCACAAACTCCTTCCTGCAAAGCAGAGGGAACATCCATGTTGGGAGAGTCCGGCTTCACCCAGCTTCCCAGAGCTCCCTTGGGATGCTGCTGCACACAGGACCCCCCAGCACCTTAGGCAAGTGCCCCATACCTGAAGCGCTCAATGTCTTCGTCAGAAACGAGCTTCTTAATGAGCAGATACCCATTGTCTTCATAGAACTGCCTTTGCTCTGTGGTGAGGACATCGTTGTCCAGGGTATAGCTGAGACACAGGGGAGAAACACGTCAGTAGGACCGGGCAGAACAACGGGAGCAGTATCGGCAAGACCCGGCAGGAAGGTGGTGACATGCAGGGGAGAATCGGTGAGAAACCCTCCCCACTTGCATGTCCACCTCGACTCTGCAGGCGTGCCGTGTTTCCCATGCCCCAGCAGAGCCAGCGCAGTGTGTCCGTGGCTGTGCAGCATCTCTGCCCACAGCCACCCACTACTTCTGCGGCAGAATTCAAAGCATCCCTCTTGTGCCCTCCCAAAGTGGAGAAGCGAGCAGGAAAGCTGGGATTGGTCCTCAGCAGCTTTATTCTCAACAGAGATACTGAAGCACACGAGAATAGTCTCTGCAGTCAGATTATCCACTCAGACATTTTCAAGATGCATGGTTAAGCTTCTTTATTAAACTACAGTTAAACAAAGGAGAATATACCCTTGCAAAATGAAAGGCTACACAATGTCTGGTGATCAGCACGTGTGCTAGGGTGGAAAAAAGAATCGAGTTCTGCAGGTTTGTTTTTTTTTAACTCTACAAAGGAAGATACAGCTTACTGAAAACTCCCTGGTTGAGGAACAGCACTAACTTGGGCTGAAGTAGGAACGCTTGTCTGGGATGGAAATTAAGGAATATACACTCAAGCACAATAGAGTAGAAGAACATCTATACACATGTGTCCTGAATCCTACAATGCGGTTCACCTTAAAGATAAGAGCTGTGCTGGACATTCAATCCATGTTCTTGTTTATTTTGCTTCTAAAAATATCTTTCGCACCTTCAGAGTAGCACGTCTGGCAGAGAAGTACAAAATAACAGCATGGTACAGCCTTGTCCATGGATATAGAAAAGTCAGTACAAAATGCCTGAGACTCCAGAGTGGTCCACGGGCCTCGATTCATCTCCCAGAACATCAAGACACTCAATGAGATGCTCAGTGGAGATGTTTACTTGCCCAATTTCCCTCCCTATGCTCCAGAGAGCAGCCAAACCTACCCAAAACCTGTGTTGCCTCCATCTCTCCCCTCCTAATGTCAGTGCACCAAATTCAGAGCCAGAAATCATATGGGGTGAACCTGGGACTTCACATTCCCATGCGGTGGTGCAAACCCTCACCTTCTCTCCAGTAACTGCAGAGATTAGGTCCCTCCCAAACTTGATAGGGAGAGCACGAAGAGAGGAGAGCTATGGGCTTGTCCTCCACCTAAACTCATTTCAACAGGTTTAAATAAACACAGTTGTGTTCTCCTATGCAGAGAGAGGCATTCTCATCCACAGAGCAATTAAACCCCACTCGCTAATGAAGCCTCACAAGAACTTTGAGCATGGTATTGAAGCTCACCCAGGGGCAAGGACAAAAAAAAGAACATTTTCATGCAGATCTGAGTCTGCACATGCATGTTTGGAGATCCCTGTGCTTCGGGGTTTTATGTAAACTGAAGACTTTCCTCTATTGCTCATCACTACCTTTTAAATGTTCCATAAAAGCGTGCATGATTCTGGAGTAAGAAATAGGTTTCATCAGAACAGTTGCGTCTATGGTCCCTACACCAGGAAGCTTAAACGTTAGCTGGTCAAGAGCCACATACGATGGGAGAAGAAACACAACACATGGACAGGGGTGTAGTAAAACTTATGAGCCAGAGGGAGGAAAAGGTGCTGAGAACTGGATGGAAGAGAGTGGGAAGGAAGAGGACATGGGGAGACCAGGTGGAGACCACCACAGCAAGTCCCAGAGCAAGGGATTCCACAACCGAGGGCACTACTGCTCCACACACCACATTTCAGGTCCGTTTTCAGTGACAATGGGACTCCTGTCCATTTGGGCTCCTAAATGTCCAGAGACAGCTGATGGAGACACAGGCACTGGTTGAACCCCAGCTGTGGTGCCCTCCTCAGCACACCTCCACCTCCCAGAATGGGGGGACAGTGGACAAGTCTACCAAGCACTGGATGCCATTTTAACACCTTGCTCCTGGGCTTTGCAGCGTCTCTTCCTCTCACTGGTTTTGCTCTTGCCACCTTGCAATGCCCAAAGTACAAGTTTGGGTTGCTTGGACAACTGAAAACAAGAGGCACCCAGATTGGGAAGGAGCTGCCACCTCCAGATGCTCATTTTGGTGAAGACATGGAGTATTTAAACCTTCCCCTTCCCCTCACACATACGCTTTTGGGAATAAGGTATTCACAGACATGTTAGCCAACCAAGCAGGCAATATAATACTTTTGCAGAGACCGAAGCAGGCACAGCAAGGTTCAAGATCAAGGATCAAGCAGCTTTTCCAAAGCATCTCCCTACAGAGTCTCAAGGGATGGTACCAACTACTGCATATCTAAGACAAGCACCATAAGATTGTGTAGTTCTTTTAGAAACCACTTCACAGACACCTGGTGAGATGGTCCTGGCCTGACAGCCACCGCTCTGCCAGCGCCATCAGGGTTTGACCAGAAGCAGCCAACCACCCAAACCACTCAAGCAGAGCAGTTGCTTTCTGAATCTCCCGTTTGCCTGCATTTTGAAGAAACCTTCACTTCTACAGTTGGTGTAGACACTTTTCCCAGTGTCCCAAACCAGCCAGCACCCAAGCTGAATTCACAGCTGTATGAAGAAACCTTCACTTCTACAGTTGGTGTGCTGTTTTTTTCCCAGTGTCCCAAACCAGGCAGCACCCAAGCTGAATTCACAGCTGTGGGAATGGAGGTCTTCTACAGGCACTTGTGGATGTGGCTTTTTCTCAGCTGCCTTCCTGTCAGGAGATAAGTGCTGGTGTTACCAACGCAGCACTTCCCTCTGGCTCCTACACCACGCTCCCAAGAAAACCCTGCCATATCTCACCTTCTGCTGCTTACTCTCCTTCCTGAGGCCACATGGGAGGACTCTGCAAAGGCAGAGTTTTTCCACTGTTGTGTAGAAATAGCTCATCTTCCAATAAACGAGTACAACCAACATACACCAATCTCTAACGTACCGATCCCTAAAAGCAACTAGGAGAAAACTAGGTATGTACAAGATGGTATTAAACTCTCTATTATGCAGGTTTAATTTTAAATAAACAGAGAGGATCAGGATGCTCTCTTCTCTGGGCTGGAAAGGTTAGAGCCTGGGTTGAGCCAGCAGAAGGCAGCTAACCCCTGCTGCAAGGCTCACTAAGCAGAGGGAAGTGGGTGTGCACATCTGCACCCCAGCTGGGCAGTGCAGAGACCCCGCGGGCTTCAGGTTGTTTTTACATTTTATGTCTCCATCAAGACATTTCTATTAAGACATTTCTCCTTTCATAAAAGGAGAGACGTTTTCTGGAAGGAAAATTGACTGTCCTGCCCAATTCACCAAGCTAGAGATTACAACAAACCACTGCACCGAGGTAACATATCTCAAACATCTATTCTTACTAGATTCTGTCATTTACTTTATGCAGACATCTTTCTTGTTCCAGCCCAATTTAGTCATCTTTTTGTCCAAAGCTCTTTGCATCAGGACCATTGTAGCTCGATTTAAAAACAAAAGAGCTTGTGCAGCACGTCTCCTTACTTACTTACTCTCTCCTTACAACCAGGGTGCTTTTCCTAGCATTTATTTCCAATTTTGTGTTCCTACTTGCACCTTTGTCTTATGGCAATCTGAGTCAACTACTATCCATCTATCTTCATATGTTTAATATATTTGAAGACTTCTACATGCTGTTTGATCGCATCCTCTTCGGCAATTTATTATAATTCAGAGGTAACTTGTCAGCATTCAGCTCTCACCAAGAATCAGCAGCATTTAAAAATCTTTTTTTTTTTTTTTTAAAAAGCAAGATTTATGGCAGCAGCTTTAAAAATACTATCAGCAGGCGGTCTTCATTTAACTTTTGGAAACGTGGGACAGACCAACGTGAAAACTTCTTTCTCCCCCGGTGTCCTTTCTCTGATCTATTGTAAAGCTGGTAGCCTCCAACATTTCCACCTCATTCCCCACTCACAAACCAAACCTCTATGTTTTTCCTGCTGCTGGTCTACCAGCCAAGCCTGTACTTCTCAACAAAATCCGAGACTCGCTGTGCAATTGCTAAGCCTTGCAGAGTTTCTCTCCCCCAAATCCAGGAATCTCTAGGAGGAAAATTCTCTGCAGGTAACCCCACTGAGCGTGCTGGGGGAGATGTGCCGGGGGGGCTGCCAAGAGGCAGCTGGCCCATCCCCACGCCTGACAGGTTGCAAGGCTGAAGCTCAGGGAGAAAACACCAGGGCAGCAAGAGGTTTTTGGGCCAGGAGGGGTGCTGACCCCCAAAACACCAGTGAGGGCTGCCAGGGGAAGCACTGCCCTGGTGCACCCCTGCTCACCGAGGGGCTGCGTGGGGCACAGCCCCCCTGCACGTCACCACCCCGTAACCAGGGCACAGGCTGGGACATTGCCCACGTGTCCTTCCCGGGCAGGGTGTCCTTGTAGGGCAAACCACCACCGAACCCCACCTCGGTGCCCATGCACGCGCAAGTACGCAGGGCACGGGGAGCAATTTGCAAAGCTCGCTGGGGCGGGGGAAGCAGAGCCCTGACCCCAATGGGGCCAACTGTCCTTCTCCCCTGCCCCTTCCCACCCCACATCAGAAAGGATACAGGAGCAGGGGCTGCTCCCAGCCGCGGGGAGAGGTGCCGGAGGATAGCATCTAGCCGAGCCGCCGGCCCCGACCGCTTCCCGAGTTGCTCCATCGTGCCCGGACAACTGGAGCGCTTGATCCCCAGCCTGACCCTATAAACACAGCTGGGGAGGAGCAGGGCCCCGTTGGCGTCTGCTGCCTTTGCCTCGGCTGCACATGCGCCAGCAGCCGTGCATGCTCAGAAAGGTGGCAGAAACCCTGCCGGGAGCCAAGGGTTGGCAGGGTTTGCAAAGGGGAGGGCCTGCCTGCAGCTGGGACGTGCGTGGGGAAGGCTCAGCGCATGCTTTTGCATGTTCTCCCCCTTCCCGTATTTTTTCCCTTCTCTGCCAGCAGTTACTGAGCTGCAAGGATTTCATCAGCCCTGTGCAGAGAGCAACGCTTGGCCCTTTCGGGTACAGACCACGGCCGAGGCCAGCACGGATATTTTCTTTATCTCCTGTCTCTAAGGAGACTGTCAGAGCTTGCCTCATCGTCCATGAATCAGTTTGGAGAGATTTTTTTGGCCCCACTGTCACCCGGGGGTGGTGGCAGAGTGTGTTTCCCAAGTACCTCATTTGCACTGATAGAGATCTGGGAAGTCTGCAGACTGCATCAAATCCGCACCCCAGGCTGTTCTTGTGCTGGGCAGCCTTTCTGTCCAGCCTGCTGGGACAGCTCTGGTGCTTTTGAGTAAGAAAAGAGGGGAAGGAGCAAAAGGAGCAGTGCAGCACCTGGGGAGCTGGGGAGGGAGATAAAAAAAAAGCCCGGAGCGGAAAACCTGGGGTAGGGAGAGGGGGAAGAAGCATAAAAAATGGGCAGCTGCAAATAGAGGTTGCAAAAAATAAGCTTTAAAGGCTTGGTATTCCTCTGAAGCTGGGATATGCTTAAAAGTGGCATATTCAATATATACTGTTCTTAGCACACTCTCATCTGCCTTAATTAATACTGTGAGTGCATCAACTGACACATTCGAGAAGACTATTAAGGGACTGAAAACAGCCTGTAGATAAGACCTGCAGCACAGCTCAGAAGGCGATTTTTGTCATCTTTGTACATGTTCCCTGTTGCCACCGCACTGTAGAGCCTCACCGCTCCTGCAAAGTGGACTTCAGTCACGGTTCAGACTAGCTCGTGCCATTGGTGTGACAGGAAATTATACTAAGAATTTGCATTATTTTGCCAACCCAACTTATGCAAATAGATCTTCACACCTGCCCGGTTTGTTCACAAACCCCTTCTGCATGAGCAATCCAGCCAGGCCCTGCTCCCAAAGATGCACCATCAAGAGTAAGTCCCCTGGTTGCTCCAGGCAGTCTCATGATGATAGGGTGTGCACCAAAACTCTGCATCACAGCTACTGCATGAAGCTTAACTCCATTTTGCAACAGGTTTTGCTGGAAGCCGAGGTGACATGTTGATGGATCAAAACCTCAGCTGTCAATATACTAAGCTTCATGTTAGTGCTACAGATAAACAGAAGCCAAGTGCTTCTGAACTTAACCTGTGTCCTAAAAGCTGATTCCCTTTAAAACTCAGTGGCAAAACTCCCAATGATTAAAGTAAAGATGTACCAGAGCAGGTTTTACATACTCCGTTTGTGGCAGCTGCCTGGAATGGGGTGCGCATTCCTGTTTGTGGTTCTCATGGCTCCACGAATGCTCCGTGCAGTTAGTCACTCCCTTCGGGGCTACAACAAAACATAGGCTGCTCACAAAAATGGGACAAAGAAGATTGGGAACCCAAAACCCCCTCTTATATGACAAAAACATTTTGTGTAGTCAGAGGCACCGTGAAGGGACAACTAGCAGCAGCAGTGACAGCACCCAGCACTTTATTGCCAACAAAATCAGACCTTTGCCTCTTGAGCTGTAGGAAAACTCTTAGTCATAGGTAAACAGAAAGTTAATAAAAGTCCCTCAAATCAAATTCAAGTGAGGGGGAAGGGAAAGAAAAAAAAAGGCAACTAGAGTAATAGTTTTATTACTGAAGTCCTAATTATAACTGCACTGAACAGTCTATTTATAATTCAGATATATGCTGCAATTGCCTTCACAATCCAAACTGAAACAGGAACCTCAATAAATCTTCATCTGTTTCAAAATTCAGGTAAGAGTCCTATTGAAAAGATAAAGCGGAACAATACTACACATGCCAATTCTGACAAAGACCTGTTTGCAATGTAGGTATTTCTTCCACTGTCTGTGTTTGAGAGCATCTTATGCAAAGGTGTCTTTCATAGCTGAAAAAAAAAAAAACAAAAAGAATATTTAGTTAGTGCTTTTGCTGTACTATTTACGAGTTTGAGAACTAAGATGCTTTTATACATACATAATACACGCTTACATCCATATATATATATATATATGCATTTTTAAACAAGAAGAGCCTCAAAAAACTAATCTCTCTGTGTATTCAATACAATTATTCCTTTTTACTTACTGCTTCTCTGGTAATCTTGCTAATACCCAGTAATACTGGCTTGTGAAGTAATTCCCACGTCACTAGACCACCCTGTTATATCACACCCCAAAATGATTCAGGATACCTCATCCACCTTGGCAGGGAGGATGCAGTTGAGGTGACTGCCCTTTATTTGTACCCTCACGCTAATACAGTCCACGAGCAAACTTTAATACAGCAGAAGATCGATCTCAGGCATTGCTGGCACCACTCCGGGCTGCAGCGCTGAGAACCACGCAGTGACATCAGTGGCACGACTGCTGGTTGTGGTGTAGCCGTGCTCTCTAAAAACAGGAGAAGTGTGTGGACACATATGAAAAACCCTGTCCTTTGCATCTTACTCTGATTTTTATTAAAAAAAAAAAAAAAACCCAAACCCAAAACACTCCAGAGTGAATAATTTTCAAATCTGTTGATAAGCTTCACTGAAGTACAGACTGAATCTCATGAACCTAGGAAAAGAAACAAGGGAGAGATCTTCTTCCTTAAGAAAACTGATGGTGGCATTCATCTTTTTATTAAAATTAACAGCATTTAAGAGGGGATGATGTGTCTTTGCAAAGTTTTACAGCTATGTCTGTCAGTTTCCTGAATTTTATAGAACATTTTTATACAGCCGCTTTGTATTTGGCTTTTAATGTTTTCTGTTCATTAAATCACAAAACTAATAAAAACTAAACGATTGAGATTTCTGCAGCAGTACAGGAATGGTCCTAATGCACAGTGTTATAATTTAATAAGCATCTCAATTGACTATTAAAATCCACATTATGATCAGAACTGTAATTCCAAAGATGAGGTCCTCTGAAAGCTTAATTTACTGTGGTGGGAAGTGGCAGCTGCTGCAACTGAACAAAATTAGCTTTTTTAACTTAGATGCCAGGGAAAACAGATGTAGATGAGACAATAACAAGAACAACAACAAAATCCACCACTGACACAGAGGTTCATTTCTCATCACCAGAAGATTCAAGAAGGGCTTCTACAGATACGTTAGCAGCAAAAGGGAGGCAAAGGAAAATGTGGACCCAATGGAGAACAAAATAGGGGGACCTAGTGACACAGGACATGGAAAAGGTCAACGGGCTCGATATCTTCTCTGCCCTGGGCTCTGCTGGCATGGTCTGTTCTTGGCCTCCATGTACCAAGCAGCGGAGTCTCAGGCCATGGAGCCTCACCCATACTGCAAAAGACTGAGTTGGAGACCACTGAAGCAAACTGGGCGTTTTCAAGTCCATGGGACCATGTGGGATGTATCTGTAGGAGCCAACATAACTGCAAAGCTGCTCTTCTCCTGTGCCAGGGGAGGTTCCTGATGTCTGGAAAAAGGCAAATGTCGTAGCTGCCTTCACAAAGGGCAACAAAAAGGATCTGGGGACCTCAGCCTCCAAAAAAGTTATGGAATAAGCCCTCCTGGATTTGCCATGTCCACATACTCCACGGACAAGATGATTTGGAACAGCCAGTACAGATTTACCAAAGGCAAATTGGGCCTGGCCAACCTCTTTGCCTTCTGCGAGGGAATGGCTCTGTGGACTCGGGTAGGGCAACAGGCAACATACACCTTTACCTTAGGAAGGCTTTTGCCTTCTTGGGACAGGCGGACTATAACGTGGGTGGAAAATGGGCTGAACTGCTGGGCTCAAAGGGCTGTGATCAGCAGCACGAAGTGCACTTGGTTACTAGTGGCATCTCCCAGCATTCAGTAGCAGAACCGATGCTGGTTTATCTCTGTGTTACTGACCTGGACAAGAATTAATCCTTAGGAAGCTGGCTGAGGACACCAAGCTGGGAAGCAGTTCCTAATTCCCTACCACTCGGGGGGACCTCAGCAGCCAGGACCCCCTGGAATTTGAGCAAAGGCAGAGTGCCACACCTGGCATGCAGTAACCCCGTGCTGCGGGACAAGCTGGGTCCTGCCTGCCTGCAAAGCTGCTTTGCAGGAAAGGACTTGATGGACGAGTTGAGTATGAGCAAGCGGTGTGTGCTTGCAACGAAAAGGGCTGACCGCATGCTGAGCTGCATTGGCAAGAGTGCGGCCAGAGGGTCAAGGGAAGTGGTTCTTCCCCTCTATGAGGCAGTTTGTGAGATTACATCTGGACACCGTGTCTAGTTTTGGGCTCCCCAGCATGGACATTGACATCTGGAGCAAGCTCAGTGGAGAGCCGCAAAAACGAGGCCTGAAGCACATGATGCACAAGGACAGGCTGAGAAAATAGCTCGGCTTGAAGAAGAGAAGGCTGCAGGGAGATCCTACAGCTGTCTGCAAGTACCTAATGGGGAGGGATAGAGAAGACAGCCAAACTCTTCTTGAAGGTTTACAGCAAAATGTAGAGACAATAGGCACAAACTGCAGCAAGAAAAATTTCTGTTAGATGTAAGGAGAAAATTCTGCACAATGGGGATGGCCAAACACTGGAACAGGGTGCAGAGAGATTGTGAAATTTCTGCCCCTGAAGATATTCAAAACGTGACTGCACACAGGCCTGAGCAACCTAATGTGACCTCAGGGTTGTCCTGCTTTGGACCAGGAGACCGCAAGACATCTGTTCCAAACCAAATTATTCTAAGAGTCCAGCTATGGTGGTACGAGCATCCCCCAACTGACCTACT